TTCTTTCACGAATCCTGGTGGTTGCCTGACAAAGACTTCTTCTTCAAGAGGACCATTCAAGAATGCTGACTTCACATCCATTTGATTAATCTTCCATTGATTTTGTGCAGCCCAAGCTATAATGAATCTAATGGTCTCCATTCAAGCTATTGGAGAGAACACCTCCTAATAATCATGACCAGGACGCTGTTCAAATCCTCTTGCCACCAATGTTGCTTTATGTCTTTCAATATCTCCATTGGACTTCATCTTTGTCTTGAAAACCCATTTGACATCAATTGCCTTTTGATCCTGTGGTAAGTCAGTAAGCTCCCATGTGTTGTTTTTCTCAATTGCCTTCATCTCCTCAAGCATGGCATTCACCCATTTAGGATCTTGAATGGCTTCTTCAAAAAATACAGGTTCTAAATCTGCAAACATGGCAAAGTGCACCAGATTTCCATCATCATCAATAGCATCATCGGATGTTACCTCATAATCTTGTAAAGTAACTGGTGGTTGTCTTTGTCTCCTCAGTCTTCCAGCTTCAGGAAGAGTCTGTGTCATGGGATTTTCTGGTGTAGTATAACTTGGTGCAGCAGCTTCTTCATTAGTATTGGTTGCTGTAACTTGAGAATCTTCTTCAAGAATAATGACAGATCGCCTTTGGGAGTCATTGTTTGTATCCAGATCCCACCTCCAAGCTTCATCTTCTGCGAAAGTCACATCTCTACTTACAATCACCTTATTAGTCACAGGATTGAACAGCTTGAATCCTCCACGAGTATAGCCAACAAAGATGGTCTTCTTTCCACGATCATCTAGCTTTGTCCTTGTTTGTGCCGGCACATGAGCAAACGCAATAGAGCCAAACACCTTAAGATGCTTCACACTTGGCTTGAAACCACTCCATGCTTCTACGGGAGTAACATTTTGAAGACTCCTTGTTGGAGACCTGTTTAACAAATAAACAGAACAAGAAACAGCTTCACCCCAAAAAGAATTTGGCATTCCCTTGGCCTTTAAGATGCTCCTCACCATGTCCATTATGGTTCTGTTCTTCCTCTCTGCAACTCCATTGTGCTGTGGAGTGTAGGGACATGTAACTTGATGTTGTATACCCTGTTCTCCACAATACTCATGAAATTCATTGGAGGTATATTCACCCCCACCATCAGTTCGTAAGATTTGGATACAATGACCACTTTGTCTTTCAACATGAGCCTTAAACTTCTTAAAACAACTCAATAGTTTAGACTTATTTTGCAAAAGATAGACCCAAATTTTTCTAGTAAAATCATCAATGAAGGTAAGAAAATACCTATTGTTACCAATTGATGTAACACTCATTGGGCCACAGACATCAAAATGAACAAGTTCCAATGGCTTTCTTGCACGCCAATTCTTTCCAGCCACAAATGGTAACCTGCTGTGTTTTCCAAGAGTACAAGCCTCACACAATTGCTCTGGATGATTTATGCTAGGCAAGCCCTTCACCATATTTTCTTGAGCAAGCAACTTCAAGCTACAAAAGTTTAGATGACCAAAACGAAGATGCCATAATCAAGAATCATCTTTTAAAACAGCACTAAGGCAAGTGTAAACCTCACTAGCAATGTCAACTCGAAACATACGATTCTTTGATAGAGGAGCCTTAAGAATAAGTGTACCTTTTACATCAAAGATGGAGAGTTGATTATCACGTAGGAGCATATTATAACCCCTTTCCAGCAATTGACCCAAGCTAAGCAGATTGCTCTTCATATCCGGCACATAGAACACGTCTGAAATATAATTATGATCTCCATTCTTCAACTTGATGAGGATTCTCCCTTTTCCCATCACTGGTAGAGTGCTTTCATCTGCAAATTTGACCTTGGATCGATACGACTCATCAAGATCAACAAAGAACTCCTTCTTACCGCACATATGATTAGTACATCCGGTGTCAAGAAACCATGTGTGATAATTTGATGCCTCAATTGTTGATGTAACCATCAAAAGAGCATGATCTTCACTATCATCTTCCTCTTGTACATAATGAGCCTTTTGATCATTCTCCTTATAGCTGCACTCACTTGAATAATGACCACGTTTATGACAAGAATAACACTCAACATGAGATTTGTCATACCTTCCTCTACCACGTCCTCGACCACAACCTCTTGTATTCTGTCGATGGCCAAAGTTTGATTTTTCTTAGTCATCACCACCTACTCCATAATTGTTGTTATGATCACCTCGACCTTTGTTGAAGTAAAAACCACGTCCACGTCCTCTACCATGAGAACCACCATGCTTTTGACTTGTTTCACCACCTTGATCACCTTTGATGGAAACTTGGCTTTGGAAGGCTTGCTCAATCGGCTTCTCTGTCCGTTTCTCATTCAGTCTCTGCTCATGTGCTTCTAATGAGCCTGACAACTCTTCAACAGTCATTTGGGACAAATCATGGGCTTCTTCTATTGCTGCCACAATGTGCTCAAATTTTGGTGTGAGTGTCCGCAAAATTTTCTCCACCTTAGTCTGCTCTGTGTACTCCTCTCCATAAATCTTGATTTTATTTGTCAAAGCAAGAACTCAACTAACATAAGTAGCGGTAGTTTCAGAAGACTCCATTTGTAGGAGCTCATATTGGCGTCTTAAGGTTTGGAGTTTTACCTTCTTAACTTTCTTTGCACCTTTGTACGCCGTCATCAGGATATCCCATGCTTGCTTTGACGTAGTTGCATCTTGAATCTTCTCAAACACTTCATCATTCACCCCTTGATGGATGAAATATAATGCCTTCTTATCCTTTTTCTTGTTCTCACGATGGGCGTGCTTTTGGGCATCATTTGCATTTTCTGCAAGTTCAGCAACTCCAGCCTCCACCACACCTAGCAACTAGTGGTAATCGAAAAGTACCCTCATTTGGACATTCCACCTATTGTAATTCTTCCCATCCAAGATAGGAATTGAAATCTGATTTGAGCCATTCATTGTGTAAGGCTCTGATACCAATTGAAGTAGCAGAAGAGATAAAAGCAAAAACAACCAAAAATAGAGCAGAACAGAAGAAGAAAGAGGCACTTCTATTGCTAGAAATAGATAAAGATGATTACACATTAAACTGAATAACAACTGCCTATTTATAATAGGCTAATAAAGCAAAAACTCCTATTTTCTAGCCACTACAAACTGAAACTTAAAGATAAGGAAACATGGTTATCAGCAACCACAATAGTAGGACACATAAACTCCACTAACTATGACTCATTCTAAACAATTAACTTCAAAATCGGGATTAACTCCAACAATTTTTAGATTTTTATTTTCTTTTTTCTCAGTGCTAGAAAATTATATCAAAATACAGTTAAACTTTTAACAATATTAGTCATGCATTTTTTATAGGTTAAATGCTAAATTTGGTCCCTCAACTTTAGTGAGTTGCACATTTTTGGTCCCTTAACAATTTTTTGCACTTTTTTGATCCCTTAACTATACGAAATGCACTCCGTTAGTCCTTCTGTTAATTTGGGCCGTTAACTCGCTTATGTGGCATTTTTTATAATTTTTTTTTATGATGTGGCAAAAATAATTTAAAAAACGTTGATGTGGAATTTTTTTTTTAAGCCAACTCACTGTCAACTCATCAACCAATTTTGCCTTAATAAAAAAATAAAAAATTACAAATTTACCCCTCTCCCCTTTTTGATCCATCTTCTTCCCCTCTTTCAATCATCTTCTTCCTTTCTTCTTTTTCTTTTTCTTTCTTCCTCTTCTTTCTTCCTCTATATCTGCTGGGTTCCAGTGGAACCCAGCAGATCTGGGTTCACCGAACCCAGTTTGCTAGGTTCCACGGGAACCCAGATATGCTAGGTTCCACTGGAACCCAGTTGGCTGGGTTCCCGTGGAACCCCGTGGGCTGGGTTCCCTGAACCCAGCTCCACTTTTTTGCATTTTTTTTTTTTGGTTATATTTTGGTTTGCCCAAAACATCGTATGTTTGTTATATGTTCAAAATGGAAATGGAAAGAACAGAAGCAGTTGGGCAAAGAAGCTTAGTGTGTTTTCATTTGTTTGGCTGGAAAATGGTA